TAAAATAATATGAAAATATGAAAAAACTTGAAATCTTATTTTCTTTTTTATTCCCAAAAAGTTGAAATTTTGTATTGGGACACTTTCATCGTAAAGGTGCAACCTGAAGGTCGGTAAACGTCAAGAAATTAGTTTTGATCGTTGACCACGAATTAATTATTGTAATTTTAATTTAATTTAATTTTTTTTTATGATTGATTTAGTGTCTGTTTAAGTATATCTAAATGTTTTAAAATGAATGTTGAGCACAGTAATAATTGGGCACAGATATGCCTGTTGTATTAATTTTTAAGTGTTTTTATTTTCCTCACTTTCTGTATCTGATGTCTGTACATTGTGCCATAAATAAAAAATAAAAATAAAATAAATTTTCATCACTTGCTTGGAAATGAAAATATCGTGAGAAAACTTGGATTTCGGAGATAATTGCCGAAATCTTCAAAGATGCGAGAATGTCAAGTTTCCAACCAGTACTTACTATGCAAGTGCAGTGGACTAAACCTTGTGCAAAAAATAGTACTTTACTAACTTACATACGTCTATTGCTGAGCGCACGTTTCTAACAACAGGCTTACGCTTAATTTGACACACGACAACTTTCTGGGTATGGGTTTATTACATGGTGAAATTGAAATAATTAATATCCGTTGAACCTATTAAGGTTCTTACTTCCTAATAATATCTACTCATCTAAAGAAATATTTTAGAATAGTTTAAATTAGCAATAGTGTAAAACCATAAAAAATCTTACCTAAATAAACAAAGTATCAAGATTAGTCGCCTTGCGTACGCGATACGTAATCGTAGCGAAGTCGCAAGCCTTTGGCGGCAACTTTGGCGGCAAAAATATCACCTTTGATTTTCGCCGCCAGCATTTGATTTTATACATGGTGATGTGGATTAGTGGTTAATGTTAGACTCGTTTCGGAGGTCGTGGATTCGATTCTCATAGTTGACTGGCTCTATGGGGTAGTTGTTAGAGTGTTAGGTTTTCTTTGCGGATGTCGTAGATTTGATTCCCATAGTCGACTGCCTCCATAGTCTAGTGGTTAGAGCGTTAGGCTTTCTTTTCGGAAGTCGTGGATTTGATTCCCATAGTCGACTGCCTCTATGGTGTAGTGGTTAGAGTGTTAGGCTTTCGTTTCGGCGGTTGTGGATTTGATTCCCATAGTCGACTGCCTCCATGGTGTAGTGGTTAGTGTTAGGCTTTGTTTTCGGAGGTCGTGGATTTGATTCCTATAGTCGACTGCCTCCATGGTGTAGTGGTTAGAGTGTTAGGCTTTCGTTTCGGAGGTCGTGGATTTGATTCCTATAGTCGACTGCCTCCATGGTGTAGTGGTTAGTGTGTTAGGCTTTCGTTTCGGACGTCGTGAGTTTCCGATGGGTGACTGCCTCCTTAGTGCAGTATATCCGTAATCACTCAGTCAGTTCTTGCATTATGTGGAAGTGGTACGGGTGATGGTCAGAGCTTGTTTACAAACAAAGGCGTATGCAGTGCAACGTTGAAGGTCGTAGACGTAGGATATAGGTATTCGTTTAATGTGTATGTAATGATGTAATTTGTATCAGGAGAAGGGTCTTATTTCAAAAGGATGGTAATAATTTTAATTTCACCCTGTAGGTACATTATGAAAACGTTACCCTATATTCCAAAATTTGCGTTTCAGTCGGCGTCCTTTGATGTGCCGCCGCTGAGGCAGAGGTGCTATTTTTTAATTTTTTGTAACAGTCTGTAATTGCCGTTTGCGTTGTGAGGACTAAATAGGTGTCATCGTTTTGTTTGTGTCTTGTTTTTGTGTTTATTTAAACTATGTCACGCTTAAGCAATAGTGATTACTAAGAGATGATGTTGTGCGTAGGCGCAGCCGTTGCGAGCTTGCGCCAGCCTCGCCAAATTTATTGGGCAAAGTTTATTGATGGCGTCCCAGAAAATCGACGTCGACCATTTCCTGCTGTGGAATGCTTCAGGAAGATGGTTATGAGACTTCATAATAGTGGATCGTTCCGTGGTTCCAGTTCTGAAGGCCGGCCGAGTTCACGAGACCCAGAATTCGAGGCAGATGTTTTGGAACATTTTCTCGGCAATCCAAAGACAAGTACTCGTAGTGCTGCGGCAGCCTTTGGTGGTGTGAACCATATGAGTGTGTGGCGTGTGCTACGGGATGATGGCCAGCACCCATACCATTTTCAAAGAACGCAGGAGCTGTTACAAGCGGACTATGATCTACGTTTGGCATTTTGCCGCTGGTACCGCGACCAGGTTGGGAGGTCTCCCGACTTCGCTTCGTCGGTACTGTGGACAGACGAGGCGTCATTTACGCGTGCGGGCATTATCAATATGCATAATGAACATTTTTGGACTCATTTGAATCCCCGCGTATCAAGGGAATCAAATTTTCAACACCAGTGGCGGATTAACGTGTGGGCTGGTATAATAGGTTGTGCCGTCATCGGTCCAGTGTTTTTGCCGGCAAGTCTGAATGGGGCCAATTATTTAAGATTCCTAACAGAAGACTTGGATGACGTTCTGATGGCCCTGCCAGTGACACAATACGTGAGACTCGTGATGGAACACGGGATGACTTTCTAGCACGATGGAGCACCCGCACATTTTGCTCGAAATGTACGTTCCCATCTGAACGACCGTCTCCCGCAGTGGATTGGGCGGGGAGGTCCTGTACCCTGGCCAGCGTGGTCCCCAGACTTGACACCGCTCGATTTTTTTTGTGGGGTCATATAAAAATATTGTTTATGCGGAGTCCTGTGAAAGCGCAGAAGAAATGAGGCAGCGGATCGAAATGGCGTTTAGTCAAATCACTCGGCAGATGCTTCAAAGAGTAGAGCAGTCTCTGTACCGACGCACGGAAATATGCATATTGCATGGAGGTCGGCATTTTGAACCTTACCTGTAAATGTGTGAAATGTGCCAGCAGTGCGCGTAGTGATTGTACTTATTATTCAAAATTATCGTAAACAAGTCAATATTTCGTACATTGTACAACAGTGAATTACAATTCGTAGGAAATTCATTAAAACGTGTATGAATTGCACAGTAGGTAAGTACCAATTAAAAAAGTATCCACTATTGTAAAATTGTCGTAAATAAATGTATTAATACAAAATTATGTAGAATGTGTATACGATGAAGGCGTGCGTAACTACGGGCTTAATAAGTAAATAAATATCCTTTAAATTGTATGTAAATAAGTACGTACCTAGGTATGGTATAAAATAATATTGTTAGAAATAATTCGATTTTTCTAGGTATTTAAAGATTTTGTTACTTAATATTAACGTGTTATCAACATATTCAAATCATGTTTTTACAGTGGCATTTCAATTGTAGTCAGCTGTTCTTTCGCCCCGCTTGCGGCCGCCCAGGTTTCATTAATGAATTTGTGAAGTCGTAGTAACGTAACTAGCAATAGAGTTGTGACGCAGTGGTTGTTTCGGACAATCACTATTTATACAAACATAATTAAAGTTATATCAACATTAAAAGTCACTTATTTTTATTTGATATTTTGCACAGAGGGTCTAGATCAAGTATAGGTTTGGCTCCTTTAATATGACTACACCTTGCGGTTACACCCTGTACATGCAGCTATTTGCTACGATATACACTCGCTGTATACATACCACGAATCCATTTTACTGCCAAGGCAAGTCTCTAGGAAAATTAAATCATAGTATGAATTTTTTTTATCAGTTAAGATGTCAAAAGCCTCACCAATATCAATATACTAAGAAAAACCATAACATTGAAAAAAATCACTAGATCTAACTACTCTGTATAAAGTTATCAATCCATATACATCGAGTTAAAAGAGAAAGATTAATCCTTAGTCCATCATGCTCACTCGGAAGGGTTGACTACATTTCTCCTACATTTAACCACTTTTGACATGTAGGATGGACACGATGTTTTTTCTCATCACTAAAGCAAAGCTTAAACACTTTTTTATTTCGTAGGTAAGCAAATTGCATTTGAAATCCTAACATTGATTGAATTCTACTACTCATTCATAAGGCAGACTTCGAACAGTGGCCGAACAGTTACCATGCCGGTCTGCCACGCAGAGGTCCCTGGTTGGATTCCCGGGTCGGGAGAAATATTTGTATGACCTACATCTATTTCTCTCGTGAGTTTGGGTGTAATTTGTGGTTGTCTATGTGTGTGTCCATGGCACCCGCGATACATGATTACCCTGGTGCGGGACTATATAAAAGATTCTCCTGAAAATAGTAAAATCTCCCGGAAATAGTAAATAATTATTTTATAAAAATAGCTTTTTTTAAAAAATCGATCTCAAAAGTTCGTGAAATTCATCTAATTGCCAAATTGTATTGAAATCGGTTGTCGGAAAGTGCGCGAAACCGAATTCATACCCTAGTTTGCCGTCATCCTTACAGGTGGAAAATTTTCTTCAAATTTAAATGGGACCAATACCGAGGTACCTAGCCTCTTCCAAAAAAAAAAAAAAATCATCAAAATCGTTTCACAAATAGTTCAGTAATCACGTAACATACTCCCGTTTTGAAGTCGGTTTAAAACTCTAGAAGTTGCACTTTGTAAATAAACATTTGTACACATACATAATTTAAACACATATATTATTTATTTGACATATGGTAAATCGAGACAAAGGCTTTATTATAGTTTTGAACTTCGTAAATGGCAAATTTTTGAATATGAACCGGACTTTGATGATTGTGACTTTTATTTTTACTCCTCATACTAATATTATTTCATAAAAAAATCTACATTTCCCAACATAAACGACATTTTCATAAATGTACTGTAAAGCTTGGGTAAGAATGTTATTTACTTTAAACTTCTCCCTCAAAGATACTCTGTTAAGCAAGCGATAATTATATCTACACAAACAGGACAATCAGACACAGACTCTTACAGTTATATTAGATAAACTAAGCACTTAGGCCGCGTACCCCTGCAGGGAGGGCAAAAATTCCCTTTTAGGCTACCCCTGCCAGAAAACTAAGAAACTTCATACTCACTTGACATTAATCTTGTTAAGCACCTGTTGTGTAGCTTCGTATCGCGCTTCCACCTTGCTTGCCTGTTCGAGCCAAGCTAGCCGCACAGGCTTCCATCGCGCCATGTGACTTTGCAGCAGTTGCTCTCGGGTTGGAGGTGGAGCTTCTCGCTGTAAACCAAATTGCTTTAAAGATTTTGTGGTGTGTGACAATTTTGTACAATTTTCTTAAGAATTTTTCATTTGGCTGCAGCAATGCTTATCGTGCTTACATCACACGAATTCGATCAATGATTGAATATGAGTGACTGACTGAACCAGTGATTTAGATGATTGTTCTCCCAGAAGGAGTCGCGGTGGGTAAAAATGATGTACGGGAGTTGTTATCGGATGGCTCCGGTGAGTACTAGAAAAATCCGAAACCTTCGAAAAATGGACTGCATCAGGTGGGACTCTAGCTGCGCGGCCAATATATAACACCTACCGGATGGGTCGTTGAATTAAAATTGACCGCCATCTTGGTCAGTTTCTACCGGAAGTGAAAAAAATTCGAAATTCGAATAAACAAGATGGCCACCATACAAATTTTAGAGCGTTATAGCTTGGCGAGTATTGAAGATAGGCGGGGGGTGGTCGACCAAATGTCATAGAGGGCGACGGGGGTCAACTGCCGGTGACAAAATTTTTTCAAGATGGCCGTACAAAATGGGGGCCCAAAAAAAAGTGGTCCGATCCGGCTCAAATTTGGCATGCGTCCGTGTTTGCGGGCCCACAATAGGAATATGTGGTTGAAACTTCGATTCTGCCATTTTCCAAGATATCCGCCATACATGTGAATTTTCTGCCCTTTGGCGTCATTTAAAAGAAAGAGGGCGGGAGGGTAAAAATAATGTAGATGAATTATGGTCAAACGAAAATTATTGAATATCAGAAGGCAACGAAATCTTCGAAACGTGCTCCGCATCAGGTAAGATCCCAGCTGCCCGGCTAAAGTATACGTCTTGGCCCAGTCTCCAAACAAATGTTCATCCACATTTTCATTTTTTGAAAAAAAATTAAAAATCGCAAAATAAAATGGCCGCCATATAAATTTCGTGGGACTATATAGGTAAGTTATGTTTAAACTAATATCGTAGAGGGCGGTAGGTGCTAACTGGCTGTTGAAATATTTTTTTAAATGGCCGATTCCATAAAAAATACTTTACTGAACCTCCGCAACTATTGATGATATACGAGTAGTTTCTTTTGAAGTAAATAAGAATATGACTTGACGCGATTGTACCAACGAATCCGGTTCCCTCCCACCCGAATAAACCTAACGAAAAAAATCACTAATGACACCAACCGATGAAGTCTTTCCTACATTTAAAGTCACATGCCTCACACATAGCTCTAGCGCAACGTGCAACATTTAAATCGGTCTAGTCTCCGGCGGCATATACGGCCCGGCCAAAGCTTCAGAGATGGGATATGGCTTCAAAACAAAAATTGTCAAGGACCCTGGTCAGGATCTATGGAGACCAAAAATGTTACAATCCAAGATGGCCGCCACACAAAATTGCTGAATCTCTGCTACTATCGATGGCGTAACGTGTGGAGTCTTCTGAATTATTTTAGGATACTAATTTACGCAACCACATCATCCGCCTGCTCTCTCTCTTACCCAAACCATCCGAACCAAAGAAAATTCTCTTCTGAAATATTAAGTTCAACTCCCAATTTGACACCAGACACAGACAGACAGACAGATATGGTGGAGAAAAGATATTTATACAGTTGTACGCGGATAGGCTCCAAGGCAAAGAATCAAATATGAGAAGACCTGAATGTGGAAATTAATATATATAAATGATAAACGAGTGATCAATGGCCTGCAAAAACTATCACTCATGGGGGGAATTTTTGTGCACTTTTATGAGATAAACCTTGGTCAATTTCAGCAGAAAGTAAAAAAAATCCGTAATTCAAATAAGCAAGATGGCCGCCAGACAAATTTCGAAGCCTTCTATCACGGAAACTATTAGAGATAGGTAGGAGGTGCTGGAAGGAATGTCATAGAGGGTAATAGTGGTCAACTGCCTGTGTAAAAAAATCCAAGATGGTGAATCCAAAATGGCGGCCGAAGAAAAACTGAAAATTGGCATGCAGGGGTCTTTAGTAGTCTTTAATCATAATTAGGGGTCAAAAGTTTTTTTTCGCCATTTTTTAATTTGGCTGCCATATAAGTGTTTATTTCGTTAAAGATAGCTGCCGAAAGAGTCTCGCTCTGTTTCGGCTGAAAATTGGCATGTGGAAGCGTCTAAAAGTGCCAAATAATAATTTGTGCTCGTGTTGGTTGGATGGTTTTTCGCCATTTTCAAATATGACCGCCATACAAGCGTTTGTTGGCAGTAGAAAAAAAAATTGTTCTGATCCCTTCCAAAATGGTCATGTGGGAGTCTCTAGGAGTGTTTGATAATAATTTGTGATCAACATTAATTTATCGCCATTTTTCGATATGGCTGCCATAGGAGTATTTTTTGGTGGTAGATGAAAATTTGCTCTAATTCACTTGAAAATCGGCATGTGGCTCTATGGGTGTTTAATAATAACTTCCGGTCAAAATATTTTTTCGCAAGTTGTCAATATGGCCGCCATTAAAGAGTTATTGTTAATTTTATAAAGACAAATACCGAGGGCGTAGGACGAGGTCTAGCGGAGGGCGAAGCCCGAAGCGTCCGCACGCCACTTTACGTAGGTAATATACAGAGACTCTATTACGGGTACAAGATTTCACAATTGTTCAAAATGTAAGGCATACTTCCCGATGTAGTGGAAATAATATCTTATTTACTTATACAACTTATAGCGTTGTTGTATCTCGAGCGTCTCTCTGTTGGATTCTTTTTTCTTGGAAGCTATGCCAAAAAGAGAAGTATTTAGGGAAAAAATGCCAGACAATCACTCCAAATTTCTGGTCTCAAACTAGGGAATTTCCTCAACTATGAGTACCAGAATAACGATAATTATGAGGGCAATATCTAGAATACCCTGACCAAAAACAACTTTAAAATGTTCTTTTCATAAATTGACTCAAATAAGGGATCGAATCTGGAACCTCCTCATCAAGCGCCCATAGTACTAATCACTGTGCCACCGAAGAGCATAAGCACCACCCCGTAACCTGAAAGCGACCACGCGCCGCAGGCCGAGCCCGGCCCCACAGTAGGTCCCGGGGTATAGGGCTCGTAATAGTATAAACTTTCAAACAAAAAATTACATGTGCAACCTCAGTAATACCTACATAGTTCAAATTTATATTATCCTTGCTCCTTTTCTCTTGTTCCGGCAGTAAGTCTGGTATCCTGCTGACTGGTGGACCATCTGGTCCAGGTAATTCCACACTGTCTTCTAACTTTGGTGGGTCTTCATATTTGGATTTGCTGTTGGATGTTTTAAAAAGTTTACTTGTACATTTCATTCACATTGAGTTTTTAAAAATGTCTTTCTATTTCTTGATTAAGTATGAAAGTTTTTTTTAAATTATTCGTTAACATCATTGACTTAGTTAACATACTACAATAGTTGTATCATCATATGGATTTCAGGTAAAGAGCTCTTCTTGCCGTGTCCCTCAAATTTCTAATAATTTATTTTGACTAAATTAGTTCTGGTCTTGGTATTTTGACGTGGACACTCACGATACGGTTAGTTCATCAGTTGTCAGCGAAGTTGAAGTCGCTCAGTGAGCTATGGAACGAGCTATACTCGGCGTTTCTTTGAAAGACAAGGTACGGAAAGAGGTTATCCGACACTCCATACAACGGTCGAAAGTTATTTACCTACTACTTCTACATGCTATCGACACACGCGCAAATGTGTGCGTGAAGTAGCAAGGTTAGGGCGCGTCTCCACTATGTAGTGACGACAGATTGTCGTGCAGTTTCCAGTGTCGTGCCTTGTATATTTAAATGAAGTTGTTCACATATAGCACGACACGATTAACTGTCGTTCACGATTTTTTATCGTTACAACGACAAACTGTCGTCACAGTGGGAACAGCTAGAACGACAGTCGTCAAACGTGACGACAGATTGTCGCAGCTCCTAATGTATTATTTATCGCTGTCCGCACGTATTCTGCTCCCTGCCCTCCCCTCTCGTACCCTGCGCCCTCTGCTCGCTTTGCAGTAGCGTTGGGCTTCCAAAAGGACATACAAGTGACTGCAGTGCATCAAACGATTCGTCGTGCAAACGGCAAGGAAGCTATCGTGAAACGATAAATTGTCGTCACGATCTAGTGGGAACAGCTAGTCACGACAGTCGTTCAACGATAAAAAATCGTCCACTATAGATAGTGATATGGGAACAGGCTAGACACAACAGTCGTCCAACGATAATAAAACGTGACGACATAGTGGGAACGCGCCCTTACCCATCACTTTCTCGAACTATTACGTTACGTGGTCAGAGCGGCAACATAGCAAAAATTCTAACGCGAATCTGTTATCTTTAACTCTAATAATAGAATCCTATTAATTACACAATGTTCATTAGGTATTTATATCGATAAAATATTGTGTTTTTATTAATTCACTAACTAGAATAACATTGAAGATTTATTTAAATAAATATATTAAAAGCACTTAAAATCTTGTAATTTGGACAGGTAACCTTTAAATAAGGTGTACAAAGTATTTAAAATTGTGTGTCCAAGTTTATCATTATTACCTAGGTAATGATTAGGTATACTACGTAATATTTATCGGCAATACAAATTGAACATTCGAGAACCCTTGTCTACGAGCTTACGAAGTTATGGCGTCTCAGACATAAGTTTTTTTACTAACTTATTGAACAGAATATTTTTTTAAATATTTTTAGATGATTTAGCATTGTTTCTGTTATTAATTTCTTAAACATGGCGAGAATGCATATCAACACATTGTATAACCAGAAATAGAGACGAAATAAGGGTCATCCATCCCTGGCAACTCATCAGGCAAATAGGCCTTATATCACGTTTACATATCAACTCTCGTTTGCGCTGAAATCACAGATTAGAAAGCTGAAATAGTACAGCGCCAACAACTGACCTGTGTGTACACACATCTCTGTACATTCGAAAAATATTCTGTATTTATTGTAATAAAGATAATCTGTAACAATGGGTGGCTGTTTCATTCAGTGGTGTGGGAAAAACAGCAAAACGTCTAATTACAAAACAAACGGAATCACATTTCATCGGGAAATCAATATTAAATATGTAATTTTTCAATTATCGTCCATTATTGTAAAGCTCAAGTTAAACCGGTCGATTTGAAGCGAAACAATTGACGACCGTCATTGTCAATTGTCAAATATTCGGGGTGGCGAATCGGGGTGCAGTCGGCACCGTAATGATTTGTTGGCAGAATAGTTTTCAAACAAATTAAATGACTTTTCATCTCTATTTCCGATTATACATATACTCAATGAGTACAGTTAAAAGCTGGCAGTTATTTTGAATCTTGAAATAGCATTTGATAAACATCAGTGTTTTTAATAGATCTTAAAAATTCTGTAACATGGTAAGATTACAGCTTGAACACCTTTAAAAACACAAATGAACTTACCCAAACTCCCTATAATCAATTTTAGGTTGATTGGCCATCCAAGCCCTGCAGATGGGGTACAGCGGCGAGTTCTCTTCAAACTGGGAGAGATCGACACTACGGTCAAAGAGCTTGAGGACATATGACTGCCGTAAAGGTGACCGCCTTCGCTGTGGCTTATCATCTTCTGAGGAATATCTGCGCTCCTTTTTGTACTCTTGACTCTTGAAACTAGGTAGCAAAAATCACTACTTTACTCTAGTTTATTTAAAAAATTATTAAAAATAATATATTACACATATAATAATATCTTCTTGTGAAATATGCCAGACTACCAATCTATATTCTGAATTACCTATTTCAGGTTTTTGGTAAAAAACTTTAACTCTTGGCTGATATTTTTGGCACGTAATTGGTTATTTGTATCTCATATTTTCTTGCTTGATCTTTTTTAACTTTTTCTCCATCTTCCTAATCCTATTTCCTGAACATAAATAGGAGATTATAAGTTTCCCCGTTTTAATAACAAGTACAAAATCTTTTAAACGGCTGAAACACTAGACGCAAAAAGGCATGAAAAATAAGAAAAAAACTCATATGATATCCTGTTTTGGTTGTTTTATTCAATTAAATGTTGTTTTATTTTTAGAACACTATGAATGTTTTTAAAATTATTTCACTTAAATTATACATTTGGGCCGTGAAGGTGAACAATGCAAACTTCCAAGTCAATCAGTAGCAATAAATATCAGCCATGAAACATCTATAAAGTAATTATTGTTACAGGAGAAAACCTAAGTTCGTAAGGTCTTTTTTGTCTTACTAGCTTAACATAACAGTGTTGAATTGTGTAAGTTTGTTTTTATTTCCATACAATTATGACTTTGATGTGGGATAAGCAGATTTTTCAAATTTCTATTCAATTTTAATGGTTTAATAAATGGAGCATCTTGTTTGCATATACGCATACTATTTAGTTCTATTTTAATTTAAACGGTATGTGTTAGGTTACCTTTCTCGTTTAATAGGAGTTTTGTCGAGAGAAGCGTCGGACTCTTCAGTAGCCGGCTCCAAAGCGTACAATAATGCGCCTTTGAGTCGACCACGAGGTGTTGATTCCTCCACACAATAATCTAAAATATATATTTTATTACGTGAGACAGTCACTAGGTGAAATATAGCACCTAGTAGAGAATAAATTACAGACCTCGATCAATACTATTTGATGGTTTGTGCTTCTTTTTCATCGGCGTTAACAACCTTCTTCGTTTAGGCATGGTATGGATTTTACTGTTTTTTTTTAGTTAATGAAAACAAAAACAAGTCAAAGAATATAAACTCAAAACAAAAAATATACTAATCCAATGATTTTTGAAATTAGAATTTATATTGTGTTGTGTGGTTTAAAATGAATGAATGAATAACCATAATGACGACCACCTAGTGTAGTACCATAACTATAACCGGTAAGTAACGCTAAAAAAAACCCAGTATTGCTAGTATTTGTAAATATTTTCGAGTTACGTTCTATGGGTGTTTCATTCAAACCATTCATTCGAAAATCAATTTATTATTCATTCAATTGTTCGCTTTTTTCTACAACTGTCAAAATACCTTGACTGCGAAAATAGCAGAGAAAAGAAAATTTCCGCTACTTGCTTCATGAAAGTGTTTTTGAAGCGAGTAAAAGAGGATCAGGGTATGGTATCAATGAAATAATGGCTACAACAGCTTACGAACATGACGCCGACGGTACGTAACAATTGTTGTAAGACAATTCGAGATCGAATTTCAAACAAGGAATAGCCCTTCCTTGTTTATTTTAATAATTTTTCCATTGCTTTCTCGTCGTATAAAACTTTTCACTACACCCGCGTCTCAAAAACTAAATGATAAATATGAAAAACTAAATTTGGCAATACATGTTCTAAGTAATTTTTAATAACATATGTGAAAGTTGCAAATTATGTAAATACGTAAATTGTTTATTATACTTCTCTCTGTTGATCTCCGATATCAAGCTCTCTAATCTTGTTAGGTTGTAAATTAAAGTGAAGGGCCTTGTCTATGATATGTTTACACAAAAAAAGTTCCCTCCTATTCAGACTTTGAAGTTTTATTTTAAATTTTTTTTAGGATGTAAGTTCATACCCGCTACCCAACGTCCAGACGGAACCTGGCGCAAACCAAGAAGAATAAAAGATGGCTACATCCCTCAAGAGGAAGTTCCTCTTTATGAGAGCAAAGGCAAACAATTTGCCAATCGCCAAAATACAGGTCTGCCTGTTGGATTGACTCCAGAGATTATTGCAGGGGCACAGAAGCAAAAGAAGAATCAAGCAGGAACTATACAGCCTATACCAGGAATGCTGATCAATGTTGACAAAAAGAAGAAGAAAAAGAAGACTGGTAAGAATTCTTATTTTACAACAGTCTGAAGATGTTTGAATGAAAATATTAGTCTAAGTTATCTATGCAAAATGTACTTATAAATTATCAAGATATTGTCGTATGAGGTAAAGAAAATTGTAGCTGAAAAATCCTCCAGTTCTTTAATATTGTTGGTATGGCGCATTGCCTGGACATAGTTAAAGAAAGGCTGCATAGGCCATAATAACCCACCTTAATAATAAAAATTTTTAGTAGTAATTTATTACTAACTTGATTTTCTTCTTATACCTAGCATGTGAATTTGATATTATATGTGTCATATTAAAAAATTTGTGCATTCTGTTTACAATAATATAGAGAGGAAGGCAATAATTATTTAAGAAAATCTAATCAGCTGAGATCGCTGTTCTGTAATTGTAGTACTTAAATTAAACTCTATAGCTCATACTTAGTGAATTCAAAATCCATGCATACTGTTGACATTACAGTCTCAACATGAATAATTTATATAATAAAGTAAGGGCCGAAACGTCGGTTTGTTTGAAAAAACAAATATACGCGATTTAAATCCCGAAAAATAGTTTCATTTCCTATGTGTAACAATCGCGAAAACCTACGAACTCGAAAGTAATAGTGCTTTAATAAATGTAGTTGTCTCATTAATAAATGTTTTTTCAGCTGTCGAAGAAGCAGCAGATAAATTGGGCAAGTGTGAAATAACCGAGCCAGATTTCAGCAGCCCATCATCATCGTCAATTAGTAGTAACTCGTCAGCCACCACAGATCCAGTGAAGCGTCTCAAAAACCTCCGAAAGAAACTCAGAGATATTGAATTACTGGAAGAAAAGGTGAAAAATGGAACATTAAAGAATCTTGACAAGGATCAAAAGGAAAAAATGGGCAAAAAGGATGATATAATCAAAGAGATACAAATTCTAGAAAAACAGACTAGCGAATGAGTGTACTTTAAAATAACAATTTCAACTGAGTTTCTGAATGAAATCTGTTTTACTGACCCGCATGTGTTATCTTTAAGAGGCAGTGCAATTGCTGTAATTATGAACTTTTATTATAAATTATTTACTAAAATTGTGTTATTTTATTTATGCAATGTGAAACAAAAAGAATTTAGTTATATTCTAAGATAATGAGAAGACGGTGAAATTGAAATACTTTAACAAAAACACAAATTTGTTGCCTGACTTTTTATGTTTCCTGTGGGACCCATACCACTAAGCAAATCACTGGTGGTTCAGTTGTATACTGGATTAACTCTTCCTTTGCGGAAGTCGCAGATCCGAGACGGACCTATTTCCGGCTCTTATGGACGGCCAATTAACTTCTGCAAGTTAAGGATATAAGCTTCACTTAACACTTTAAATTCAGCTCTTGATTGAGCAAGAAATGACAATATTGGAAATACATTTTCCAAATAAGACTTTAATTCTAGGTAAAGTTGTTCAGTTTCATTTCAAAATATGACTGCACCTATTTACAAAAGCTTGTATAAGTATATTGTTTTAAGATTATTTCTCATTAGATGTTAAGACTATTTCTCAACACTAAATAATTGTTCGTCATTTTTAAGCTCACCACAAGTACCAACCATCATGATTTGTATACATGATAATTTTTACATATTCAAAACAAGCACAACATAATTTGATTTGCTTCAAGATACATATGTTTTAACTACATGAAAATTTTTAGTAATTAATACACACATGTTAGAAATTTATTACATTTTTATTCAAGCTATAAAGTAAAATATAAAAGTAGGTGCTTACATATTTTTTTATTGATATAAGTTTTATTTAAAAAAATTATTCTCAGTGTTTGGTTGTTATATAATTAATTACATAAAATGACAAAAATCTTTTTTACCAATTCAACAATAGCTGACTTATTCTCCAATTGTATTGATTAAAATTTGTCAAGTATTAAAAGTGGTTGATTACTTACAAAAAGATCAACAAATTACTTTATTTACAACATTGGACAAAGAAATTCATCTTCATACATATATATAAATACTGTATATAAATACTGTATTAAAAATCGATAGAATAAACGTTACAATAAACAAGCCAAGTAAAAATGTGTTATTTAAAATATATTTTGAAAAAACAGATAATGTTTTAGAAAAAACAGACAACAAAATCTTCAAAACTCAACCTTAAACAACCTTGGTAAACTGTGACTCATACTGCATGGTTTTTGAGGGATTTACGTGGCCTTCTATCTGTAATTAAATACAAACAAGACAACTTTACTACGCGTTACATCAGTAGCATGATTTTATTTTGGTAAAAAAATATATATGGCATGTTTGTATGGTATGTACAACTGAAATTAGAAAGATCAATGTTAATTACTCACATGACTGCGTTAAATGAATTCATTCCTCGCTTTCTGTCTCGCGTAGTTGCCCAAACACGCGAGAATTCCAATCACAGCTATTCCAACACCCAAAACAGTCGCCAAAAAATCCCCAAAATCGTAACCTTGGGCAGCTTCAACGTTACTTACGGTGAGCAACGTGAAAAGGAATACACATAGCTTGAAATACATTTTTATGTTCAACTAAAAAATGGTAAATGCGACACAAATTAAGATTTCGCAATCAGCTGTTTGTGTTGTTCATGATGGTGACTTGACATTACAATAATGCTACTTTACGTTTAAAAATCTGTTATGGCTATGACATTACTATTAACATGCGTTCAGACGATTATATGTAGAATTGGCGGATGAACCGATCTTTTTCATTAAAGAACTAAAATGGCAACATTCGTATTCAGCTGTCATCCGAGTTGACAGCGTTGTTTCTGTAATTTTGTTTTTTTATCGCAATAATCTAAATAATTCTATTAATCTGCTCTAAAATGGGTACGCGGGGATAATTTCTTGCCCGAAATA